GGAATTGAACCCCCCACCTCGTTTGGATGGAGCTGCGGTGTCTGTACACCCCACTGCAGCAGCAGCAGCAGCAGCAAGAGGTGATGGCCGCAGCAGCAGCAGAGAAGAGAAGCAAACAACAGAAACAGCAGCAGCAACAGGAAAAAGACGAATCGAGGGGGGGGCTGCTGCTGCTGCATGCAGCAGAATAAGACAGCGGCGTTTGCAATAAAAAAATAAAAAAAAAGAAAATATATTTAATTATATTTTATTTTATAAAATATAATTAAATATATTTTGTTGTTATTTATCTAAGTAAAAAATAAAAATAGAGGGAGCTGCCTATACACCCCAAAACATGAAAACAAGATAACGCTCAATATAATAAAAAAACAAACAAAAATAAAACAAACAAACAAAAATAAAAACAACAGATTATAAATATTTTAATTAAAACAAAACAAAAACAAAACAAAAAAAACAAAAACAAAAACAAAAAACAAAGAAGGTGTAGGGCCTTCGTTTGTTTGCTGATATAAAGAGGGAGAAACACACTCTATTGCAAACTCAATTCATCTTATTTATTTATTTATTTATTTATTTATTTATTTATTTATTTATTTATTTATTTTGTTTATTTGTTTGTTTGTTTACTTCTTTATTTAGTCAAATGAAGATAAAATAAATAAATAGAAAATAGATAAATAAATAGATAAATAAATAAATAAATAAATAAAAAATAAATAAATAAATAGGGTTGTTTCTACACAGAGGGGCTGTCAATTGAGTTTCATTGTTTTGGGTGTATGTCGTTCTGTCTTTCTTTCTTTCTTTCTTTCTTTCTTTGTTTCTTTCTTTCTTTCTTTTTATATTTGGCTGTGTTTCTGTCTGTCTCTTTGTCTCTGTTGCCTTTCCCTTTGATGCTCGCCCCCGTAAAGAACACAGTTTAATAAAGAGTACACTTACACTGCATTCACCAGTTCCAGAGAGTGGAGACCAGTGGTCACATGCTGAGGAGACCGGTGGTCATGGTGGCGGTGACCACTGGTCACCCCCCACCATGTACTGATACACCACACATATTCAACTTTTTCATAGAGCGTATGAAAGCTAAAGAAGAGATTTAAACGCATAGAAGGGTTAGGTTTCCTCTTAATATCATCTTATTTTTTTCTTTTTTTTTATTTATATTCGTCAGTATCACTGCTATTACCATAAAACAATAAAACTCGCAATGCAAAAAATTCAACGAACAGTACAACCTCGAAGTTGTTGCACCATAATATATGTATATATATAGAA